TTGGCAATGCAGTGACGACACCACCACTCTCACCACTTAGAATGTCACCAAGACAATCCCCAAAGCTTTCTCCACGAACATCTCGAATGGATATATGTGAGAAAAAGGTGGTGCTACCCAAAGTGATTGTTCTGAATTACTTTGGGATGGACGTGAAGAGTTCGACCTTTTGGAAGAAAGAAAAGAAGACACAAATTGAGATAGGAAGGTGCTTTCGATTCAACAGTTTACCACTTCAATTCTGCATGATCTTTCTCTCGTTATTTAGTGTGAAGTACAATGTGACAAACGCGTGGAGAAGTGGGCTAGTTGGCAACATCAATATCAAAGAAAGTAAATTTAAAGTCCTTTGTGAATGGGAATTAGACAAGCGGCGTATTTCAGTGCGGGTCTTTGTGAATGTCGATACCATCGAAAATATTCAACTCACGTCAGAAGTGTGGGAAGGGTTGACTAACTTACTTAATGCAACGGTGAAGTACTTCCCACAGATCAAAATGAGTTTCGACATCTTGTGTCCACATTGTTTAAGTAATGATGTGAATGTAGATGGATGCTTTTGTGTCACTTACGACGAAATCTGTCAAACGTTATCACAAGGGTCTTTTCAAGTGAACACGTGGGGGCATTTAGTCTCATTTGTGTTGAATTGTTGGGATGTTTTAGTCAAGCGTTTGTCGCGAAGGAAGAAGCCGATTGATTACAAAGATGTTCAAGTCATTCGCACGCTCACACGAGGGAGTTCTTCTGATATTATGTTATGTCAAGTGAAAGGAATTGATGAAGAAGTTGTTGTGAAAAAGTCTGAAATTGACATTAAAGGGATGGTGATGAATGGGGATGACTTCATTCCATATTACATCGAGCGTGTCGAAGACTTTTTAAGAGAGTGTGAGTTCATTCGATTCCCCGAGTGTCCATATATAGCGCGGATACATGGGTATTGTCTCTCTCCTTTGTGTGTGGTAATGGAATATTTCAATGGGGGGTCACTCTTCGACTACATCACAACACACCCAAAAATGCCATGGAGCACTCGATTGAATATTGCAGTGAGTATCGCTAAAGGGATGACGCTCTTAATTGGGCAGAAGATACCGATGGTACATCGCGATTTGAAAAGTCCGAATGTGATACTGAAAGTGAATGGGAGCGATGAGATAGTGCAAGTCTCTATCACAGATTTTGGGCAAAGCATGACGACATTTGATAATAATTATAAGACGTGTCACTCAGTCGAATGTCCCTTTTGGCTTGCTCCTGAAGTGATCAAAACGTCTCAATTTGAGTTAGAAAGTGATGTATACTCATATGGCATGATTCTTTGGGAGTTGTCAACTCTCTCTGCGCCATTTCCACAGTTCAAATTTATGGAAGAAGTACGAAGTTTTATTAACAATGGGAACCTCCTTGAAATACCACAATCTCCATATTCAGAGTTTGACTCATTAATTGCAGATTGTTGGAAAGAACCCAAAGGGAGACCGTCATTTGCTGCGATCGTCGTGAAGTTGATGAAAGTGATTAAGAAGAGTGAGCTCCAAAAAGTGTAAAACAACTTTTATATTTTGTTTATTCAATTTCAGAATTGTGCTGCCAGAATTCTTTTTTTGTTCGCTCAATTATAATATTTAAAAGAAAAAAAGACTGAATTTTTTGAATCATTGAACAATTATTTAATTGTAATGCCAATGACAAATTTTTTAATTGATTATATCGGTATTTATTTGGTATTAAGCATATAAATAACAGAAAATAATATCATGGATACTTACCGATAAAAATCTATTTGAATGACAATGAAAGGAAATGGAGTGACTCATTTGAAAAAGAAAACTTGAAAAAAAGAATGGCACAACACACACCAAACCCTTGTGAACAGAGTCACTGGGGTGTGCTGATAAACCTTTCCCCGCAACCCAAAGTCAAATTGTTGACACACAAAAAAGAAGTTGAAGGGAGGAAATCGTTGGGGTTAAATTATAATTTTATAAGTAGAAACCATTTCAGTATTGAGTGTCTAGATGATATAGAAAATAAAAAGACATACATGTTGAGTGTGTTGTCTGCAAATGGCCTTTATGTTAACGATAGTATGTGCAAAAAGGATTACCAGACATTTATTAAGTCGTTTGACACAATACGAATCTTTCAAAGCAATCCACCACAAGAAGTGGCACTCATTTTCCTCTCTGCAGATCTAAAATTATTACTCAAAAATTGTTTCTTCGAGAAGTACCGACTGCTTCAGTATATTGGAAAGGGGAGTTTTGGGTCAGTCTTCAAGGCAATGACTAACGACAATAAAGTGTGTGCTGTGAAAGTGATGGACGTGACGACAAAAAGGAAGTCAGAAGTTGCAGAGCGAGAGAGTGAAATATTGACCAAATTAGAACATAACAATATAGTGCGCTTCTTCGATTGTATCAAAACACAAATTTTTGTATTTCTTGTGATGGAATTTGTCGAAGGACAGACGCTTGCAAATTACTTAAACCAACACAAAAGTATGACAGAGAAGCAAGTGCAAATTATCATGCGACAAGTCTTTGACGTTCTTACTTATTTACACAAGAAAGGGGTTGTCCATCGCGACATCAAATTAGAAAATGTCATGCTCTGTGGAAAGTCGCAGAATGATCTTGACAAGCTTTCAGTGAAAGTGATGGACTTTGGCTTTGGGAAAAACATCAAGAATGATCCTGCGGTGACAAAATGTGGCACCGAGTATTATTCTCCTCCCGAGTTATTTAAGACAATGGACGGTCAAAAGTATGACGGGACGAAAGCAGATGTGTGGAGTGCTGGTGTGATGATGTATGCGTTGCTCACTTTTAAATTTCCATTCGAAGGAGGTACCATTGAAACGGTTAAAGGAAAAATTAAAGAAGGTGCGTATAAAGAAAGCCCTCTACAAAATAAGAGTGATGCTGTTAAAGACCTTTTAAATAACATCTTTGTGGAAGACCCCGAAAAAAGATACTCGGCTGAACAATGTCTTAAAAGTGAGTTCTTCCCAAGAGATATTGAAAGAGCAATGTACCAGAAGTGCGTTGTGCCTATTGATTGATTGATTGGATTTGTGTGAATAAATATCTTAGGTATTTTTGTTAATTATTCGTGTACATTTATTTTAATTGAATAAGATCTTTATATATTTTAATGTAAATTACTTCTATAATTTAATACAATGATTATATAATTTATTATAATTTCTTTATAATAAATTCATAGTTGATTTATTTATATACAAAAACTTAATGAATTATTTATTTATTTTTAATTGCTGAAAAAGTTGGTTAAAAACAAAATAAATTTATTTGAATTTTTCAACTGTTTTTCGTGGAACAAATATTGTTAACTTCATGTTTCGTAATTACACAAAGATTCAAGTGAATTTACACAAAAGTTCAGTTCCAAAGGCCTTTAAAGATGAACAAAGGTTTTGTTTTAAAAAATATGTCATTTTTCAACCAACACAACAAAATAAATAAGTTTCTCATATTAATTGTTTGGTATAGTTATTATCATTCTATGACCAAAAATATGGTTAATTTTCTTAAACTTGTAATTTCGTTTTATTGTTGCCAATAAATAGTTGCACAAGTTGATTTGACTCAATTTGAAATTCATTGATGTTATGCCATTTCAATTATGTTCAGTAATGAGTAAAATAACAATGTGAAAAAGCAAAAAGAGTATATTGGTCAACCCTAAAATGGTTTTTCTATAATTAAATACCATAATAATTGTGTAAATTTCGTTTTATTTTTCTGCAAACATCGGGAAATAAATCATAACATATTTTTGTATACAAATAAATATAGTTTTTTTATGCAAAGATGAACTAAATGTTTTATATATTTAAACAACAACAATATAAATAAAAATTATATAAAAAATCGGGCGAAATTGGCAATAATAAAACAAGTGAATTGCTTTGGTAACACTTCGACATTCTTTCATTGAAAAATTTGGGGTTTTTTATTTTATAAGTATTTTCGCTTGTACCTCAAAGAAACCCGCCCAAGATTTTTTAAGAATAAGTTTTGACAGAGTTTGCATTCTGTTCGATGACCTTTTTAATATAAAAAGGATTGAATGAAATGAAGTGGAAAAGAGAGTCTATGTATCAAAATAACTTCCAAATAACATTAATTAATTCATAAATACGATGTTGCTGAATGCGACGATCACAAGAATAAGAAGAGCAACAAGGAGGAACTTGGCCTGAGGTGGTTCGACTACTTCAAGGGCTGGTCTTCGAGTGATCACGATCTTGCCGTCAGCGCTCTTCATTCGACTTTGGATATCCAGTTCAGAGTGTTCTTTATATCCCATTCATCAAACTGAGTCAACTTTCAACTAGTTCTTTTTTAATATATGGATACTATTTATCATCACCTGTTTTTGCAGCCTTAAATTTGAACACGTGGTAACTCCTTATTGATTTTGCTTCTTTTTTATTGAAAACTATTAATTTATAGTTAATATAATATCAATTTGCTAGATATCCAATCATCATCGGAAATATTAAATCGATCATTTTCTTGCCTATCTGGACTCCCGGAATTTTAAATGAAACCGGGCTGAAAATCACTCATGAGTTTAAGTGATGAATTTTTTAGAAAGTTTGGAAATTTTTTTATGACTTATCAAACCCTCCAAATTATCCCAAAAAATTCGAAGGAAAAAAGCCAACTTCTTAACAAAAACAATTAACCCTGATTTTTGAAAAAACAATCCAAACTTTTCACAAAAATCAGGCACAAGGTTTTTGTGAATGATTATCTGATGAAATTTTTTTGATATTCAAAATATTTGATTATTTGTATTATATTATTAATTCATTTTATTACTTATTTACTTTGTTTTAAATAAAGAAATAAAATGAAACAAAAATAACGAACTGGAAATAAATAAATTAGTTCAAAACAATCGATTTTTGATGCTAAACAAAACATCATTTTTCTTTTGTTTATTTTTTAATCAAAAAAAATATTTACTTAATTAATAACTATTTTTATTAATAACTTTAGAATATTTTTGAAATTTTTAATATTGTTTTAGAAATAAAAATTATTATTGATTATTAACTTAATTAATAATAAAAATAATTGATCAGAAGGTCAAGTTACATCAGAAATTATTCAGGAACACGGACCTAATCTCATCCTTTCAATTTCAAATTGTCTATTCTTTTTGTATTTTAATCTTATTTATTATTATTTTCAATTATTATGGGATTTCATTGATAATATTTTAATTTTTTGTTATAAATTTACTATAAATAAAATCAAATAAACTTTATGAAAAGCATCTGAATAAAAATATACAAAATCTTTTTTTTGCATTTGATAAAAGTTTTTATTACTTTATTTATTAGATTTTCATAAAAAAAACTAAATGAATTAACATTTAGTTTTTTAATTAATATATTTTGAGATTGTTTTCGTTACTTATTTTTTATTTAAAAAAATAAATATATTTTTAAATAATAAAAATGTAGAACAATAACTATTTATTAATAATAACAAATTCATTTAAAGAATCGACAAATAAATCTTTTTCTGCTTTGCTTCCAAAAAGTTTGTTTTATTTTATTAAATAAGTATTATTTTTATCGTAATAACTAATCATCAAATATTAATACAGTGTTGAATTAAATTTATTCTTATTTTAATTTTTATAATCGATAATCTTTTTTCTTCTTTGGTCTTCTTTTCTTGTTATATTATTCTAAAATTTGAATACTTTCTTGACTTATTAAATACCTAACACCTAAATTTAAGAAGAAATGCCGAAACTGTTAATGTGATATATGTTCCTCTTATTTGCAACACTTCTATCAGTGGCACTTTCTGGTAATGGTTTGAATGTCCAAAGTCAAATGTTATTGATGCCATACCCAAAGTCACTTGCCTTCAATTACTTAGGTACAACTTCACTCATTGCAACATCAACCGTCAAAATGTCACTTTCATCGAATTGTCAGAATGATATTAACTGCTTGGCATTCATGCAGTCCAACTTCAATCATACCATTACATACCCTTTACAAGTTCAAAGTGGTATTAAGGACTTTAGAATCTCCCTTTTCAGTGTTATTGATATCCCACACATTACCCCTGGCTCTACTACTACACTCTCTACAATTAATATCTACTTGACTGCACCCATCTACTTCCCAACACTTAAAATTGGTATCGATGAAGACTACCAACTTTCTGCAACTTCAAGTGGAGTCACTATCACTGCCTCAAATGCATATGGTGCAAGACATGGCCTTGAAACCTTAATCCAGTTGTTTAGACCACTTGAGAGTAAAAGTGGGTCCTTTGCTATCTCACAACTCCCAATCACCATTTCAGACTCTCCACGTTTCAAATGGAGAGGATTGATGTTGGATTGCGCTAGAAATCCACTCTCAAAAGAGACCTTTGTCAAAGTCATTAACTCACTCGCAGCAGTCAAGGCCAACGTTTTGCACCTTCACTTGACTGATGGCCAGACTTTCGTGTTCGAGTCAAAGGAATATCCCAATTTGTCCGCAAAAGGAGCTTATGACCAAAATAAAGTCTTGACCCAAAAATTCTTACAACAACTTTCTGAATATGGAAGAAGCCGTGGAGTTATCGTTTACCCAGAAATCGACATCCCCGTTTGTTATACTATTATTTTTACTTTAATTAAATTACTATATATTAATAGTAAAATGGACTTATTGAGAGGCTCATGCTGCGTCCTGGAATCTTGGATACCCCGGGGTTGTTGCAGATTGTTGGAGTACTATTAAAACGTGGAGATATGGAGAAAACATCCCAGCACTTAATCCCACCAACGACACCACTTTCAAGATATTGGAGGCTTTATTCCAAAGGGAGTTGCCCAATGTCTTTGGCAATGATTATGTTCATATTGGTGGTGATGAAATGGTCATGACTGCATGGGAGGATGCTGTTGAGTACAGTGATATTCAGAAATGGATGTCTGCAAATGGGATTTCGACTCTTTTGGGACTTGAGTCGTACTTCAACAAGTACGCGCAAGACAAAGTTATGGCGAGTGGGAAGACTCCAGTTGCATGGGAAGAAGTCTATAAAAAGGGGAATGCCGACAAGAGTACAATAGTTGAAGTCTGGAGTGATATTTCATTATTGAAAAAAGCAGTAGATGACGGGTATAAGGCAATTTGGTCTGCTGGATTCTATCTTGATATGCAGAGACCACTTGCTTCACAAAGTGAACATCACATGTGGGTTTGGACAAATCGAGACTTCTACGCAAATGACCCAACAAGTTCATTCACTGCTGCTGAACTAGAGAATGTTCTTGGTGGGGAAGGATGTTCGTGGCATGAGAGTGTCGACGACGCCAATGTTATAGAACGAATTTTCCAGCGGTATAATGCTATTGCTGAAAGACTTTGGAGTGCTAAGAGTATGACCAATGCGGAAAGTCTTGAAGTTAGAGCAGATTATGTCCGATGTTTAGGACAAAGAAGAGGTTTCATGAGAAGTGCTGGACCACTGTATGCGTCATACTGTCAACTCCCTGAAGAGAAATAATTCACTTAAGTTCACTTTTATCATTGGACCATTAATTAATAATTTTGAGAGTGAAATGTGTAACAAATAGAACATTCAATGGTGAAAAACTCGGAAATAATATTTAAAGTTCTTACATCAGAATGTCAATAAAGGTCGAATCACACCACGTGAGAAGCGTGAAGAAACTTTTGCGCTACGCGTTTGCCCCAAAGCTCACTTTTTTACCAAGTAAATTACTTCGTCTACAATTGGACGAAACACTTCCTAAGATATTTTCCGAGGCAAGTCCACTCACTTTAATTGGGACCACGTCACACCCTGTTGTTCTGTGTTCATTATTTCCTGACATCCACTCAATACAAAAGAATAAGATACTCCCAGACTCGTATGATAAGAAGTACATCACCGATTGGTACGCTTCTTATCGGTGGGGAGCATCAGTTGAACCTATTTCAGACCCGACAGAAAACACGGGATACCCTATAGCCGTTGTATTGGCGTGTTCCGACACCGACTGCAATGGCGATACCGTCAGTGCACTCGCAGGGTTATCCACAGATGAAGAGCAACTTGTACGCCTCAAGTCGGAAACAAGTGAGAAGATATACATGTGCTTTTCCTCCAAAGATGACATCAAGTTTCGGACGCAGTGGAAGTACACTATTACAGTGAATATCAATGAGAAAAGTAGTATTGAAAATGCACGGAAAAGGCTAGTGGATATGGTCTATGAAATCGCAAATGCAAAGTTACGCGACCTCGAAGAGACGGAACAGAGCACCACCGGAGTCATTGGCCTCATGCGCGGGTTCTTCACTGACGCCGCTCTTCTTCAGGAACAAAAAGAGCGGAGTACAACGTATAGGAACATTCATATGCAAATTGGAGACTTGGCTTATTCAATAGGAAATTATATAAAAGCTATTGAAAACTATACGAAAGCACTTCCCGAGTTTTCAAGTCATTTAAGACAGCAGAATGGATGTCATGAAATGCTTGGCTACTCTCTTTTTATGGTCGGAAAGTCCTTTGCGATACACACAACAACGGCCTTTGAGTATTTTATGAAGAGCTCTTTAATATGCCAAAATGCGGCAGACAGTGACTTCTGCTTGGCAAAGCGAATTGGAATGAATTTTGGTGCTATGGTCAAAGGGAAAAGGTGGGAAGACCATTTTGAGAAAGTCATTCAAATGCCAAATTTGTCTCCTCTTTTTTCTGCCCTCATTCACGAACAAATTGGGATCCATTGGATCGACTCGTGTCCAAGAAAGTCGGCGATGTTTTTAATGATAGCAGCAAATCAGTATTTCAGTGCAGATGAGAGACTCGGGGGGTTTCGATGCGTATGTCACGCTAGGTGCATTTACTTCGCTAGAAACGAAAAGGTACATCCGCACTAATGACTGCTGCATTTCTGACAGACGAACTGTTTAAGACGCAAAAAGAGACGGACTCACTCGCTCTCATTTTACAAGCTTGTGACGCTAAGATCAAAGATAACAACACACTTGCATTGTATCCACCAATTGGTGTTATTGTCAACTCTGCGGTAAGTACTGTCGCTATCAACGAAATCGCGATGTTCAATATTTCAATTACGAATCAGCACAACTCGCCACTTAAAATAGATTTTGTTAGATTGGACATAGAGAGTGGGGAGAAGTCTGAAAGTTTCAATATTGATGCGGACGCCACGACTGCTGTCACTGTAAAGTGTTCGTTTCAAAAAGTTGGTATTTCGACACTTCAAGGTGTTTATGTTAATATGTACAACTACACAATCTTTGTACCATTTGCAGATAATCTGAAAGTCAAAGTGACTCCATCTAAGATACCAATTCAAATCACAGTGGATACCCCAACAAACGTTTTTACAGGTGAAATAGTCCAAACTACACTTACACTAGAAAACATCATTAATTCTTCTCTTCAAAATGTGGTATTAAAAATCACACCCGGTGGTGTCGTGTGTGGTGGAGTATTTGATTCTCCCTACAAAAAGTTTAATATCAACGAATTGAATGTGAAAGAGAAGAAGTCAATAACAGTCGAACATTTAGTGACTAAAGAGTCCGAGCACCTTTCTTTTGTTATTGAAGCGGAGAACCAGAATTATTGGGAAAAGGAGATTTGGTATTCGATCACCTCTCCTCTGTTATTACAATCGCAATTGATGGGAAGAATTACTTCTGCACAAGAAGTTGACGTGCGTTTTGAAATGAAGTCGAACAAGACAATCACTTTACTCTCATTGCGATTGTTGTCGAAGACATGGTCTAATTTAAGAATCACTAATAACTTGAACAAAAACACATTCTCTGGAAAGGACGCTTTTGAAGTCCGTGTGGAGACGACTCAACAACTAAAGTTAACACCATTTGATGTGTACTTTAATGATATACAAACTAAAGACTTTTCTAAATACGACCATTTGGCTCTTCAATATTTGAAGATGGAATATCCAACGATATTGGAGGAGGTCGTAGACAACGTCTGTATGCTCTTTTGGAAATGTGACGAGAATGTCTGTGTGAGTATCGTCGATTTCGTTCCTGCTATTTTACATCGAAATAACCAAACGTATCCATATCAATTCGTTCACAACCAATTACTACAATACTCAAAAGTCGCTCAATTATCGAAACACACTTACTTGCTCGCAGCACTACACACGTCATTTGTGGGACACTTCGTGCAATTCCCAGAGAAACTTGAATACAACTTGTTACAACCCATCCCCGTGGCTGTACACTTCTTTAACACTACAAAGTTGATTGTGCATATCAAACTCTTTGCATCATCACCATTAAATCCATTGGTCATTCTACAAGATATGAAAGATATGCCTGTTTCTGCACTTTGGTATGGACCGATTGGAGATCAATGCACAATAGAACCATTTGTTGAAAAGGTCGTTGACTTGTCTGTCGTGTTCTTGTCATTCGGAGAACACACACTACCACCAATATATTGGAGATACGCTTTTGAAGAACATGTCTGGAGTGATCCCATTCCTCTTAATATTTATTTACACTCAATCAACTTACTGCAAGATGTTGAGCAACTTGGTTGCATTGAGTAAATTATCTAGAATTGTGTGTATTCATGATATAAAAGAATTATAGCAAATTATTTAATTGTTATAATAGTATAGTATTATATAGTATTATATAACATCTAAACTATAACTTACCTCTCTTTCTTACTGTTTCTCTCTTCATACATGGCATGCATCTCTTTAATTCTATTAATGACATCCTCAGCAGTTAATTGCGTTTTGGTGTCATACACTTCCATAATACCTCCTTCGATAGCATCTTTGTACTTCTCTTCTTGGTAGTCCTTCACTCCGTGAATCACTCGCTTGATATTCATTTTCTCAATCATCTCCTTTGTGACACCTTCTGGCGCACCTATAACAATGTTGTCGACATACCCACATGCAAGCAGACTCATCACTCTTTCACCAACATTACAAATGGGGTAGTTCTTCCCCAATTTCTTATTTGCAATGTCATCGTCATACACACCAACGATCACATAATCGCCGCTCTCTCTTGCGTGCTTCAACAGTCTGTAATGCCCAAGATGCAACAAATCGAATACCCCATCAACATACACTATTCTATCAGTATCTTTCAATTGTCTCTTCTGTTGCGAGAACAACAAGATCTTGTCTATAGTTAAAATAGAGTGTCTGTACCCCGTCCAATGATCCTGTGAAGTTGGGTTCAGCATTCTATAAATAAGATCGGTTGTGGACACTCCCTGTGTACGTGGGACTAATTTCAACATGCCATGTTCTTCCATTTCCCAGTAGCAGTTCTTTCCAGTCACTTTATCACAAACAATGTCATCGCCGTGGACAACATAGTCGATGTTAAACGACTTCACAAAGTCATATGGAGTACACCACCATGTAATCCCATCTACCACTTCATCGACCCATTCACATGCTAACACAGCTGCAGTACGCTCTTCTTCATTCATCACGGGTTTTGCCTTTTGATTTGTAATAGTCTTGTCACTATGAAGACCGACACAGAGGCAACACTTATATCCAAAAACAGCTGCAGCCTGTCTGACTACGTTTGCATGACCCCAATGGAACATGTCAAAACAGCCATCCACCCACACTCGGGGTACGCCAGTCTTGATATTTTTCACGTGATGATGAACAAACTGCGACTCGAAACCTTTGCCTAAAGCTGATGACATTTGGTTATTGAGTTTTGGAAAGTTTAGATGCAATTTCTATCTCACTCATCTTTTAAAAGTACTTAGAGCATTTCTTTGTTTTCTTTATAATTTATTTATTAATTCTTTTTCCTATTCCAATTAATTTGTTGTGGAAGTGGCTTGTCGTCTTTTTTAGAAAGTAGCCCAGCTTGGTGTCGGGCTTTTGTGTAAACTTAAAAAAAACTTCAAAAATACCAACTTCTTAATTACCAAGAATTATTATAATATCGCAACGACTACACAATTTGTTGTAGTTTTTTCTGTGTGATAGTATTTACAATGAAACACCAAGCTTTCGAGTAATGATGAATAAAAAAGTTTAATTCACAATAGATTTTTTTGAGAATTAACAGTTAAATTTTAACTGTTTCGAATAAACAATTAAAATTTATTGTTTTATTCAAACAAAAGATATTTTTTTATTGACATAAACAATTAAACTAATTAAAAAAAAAGAAGTAGTATTAAATATATTAACTTATTCTTAATTAGAAATAGTACAGAATCCAGTATGAACTCAATAAAGAAGGTGGAATATCTCAAAAACATTAAAGAATGTCGCAAATCGACTTTGACAGCATTTATGATCGAATGAAGAATTGGGACCACCACATTCAAACTGGTGCTCTCCAAGAGTTTGTTACGTATATAGAAAACAAACCAAAGACAACAATCACTGAAACAACTCAAAAGAAATTAATGTCTGCCTTTACAGAACTTTTTTCAAGCACTGACACAGTGTTAGACTCGTTACGAGAAGCCGTGAATTTCACCACTTCATTTCTTCCAAAAATTACACAAGAAGAGTACTTAGAAAATTTTTTAAAAACTATTGCTCAAATATTTACGTCTGAAAGTTACTCGAAAATGCGTCCTATCCGCTCCAACACACTTTTATTACTCGATAAAAACCTTTTCATCTTTACAATCGATCAAAAGAAAGGCGAACTATTTACGAAGGTGGTCACTGTCTCACTCCTACAAAAACTGACTTCACCAACCATCGATAAATTTCATGACTTAGATTGCCTTGTTATGGCTCTAGAAATCATTTTCAAGAAACACGTCCACTTCTTGGAGAGTATGATGGTCGATGTAAAAAGTGCGTTGTCGCTCTGCTCGGAAGTACTTTTGCCTCTAGTGGACTCGCAGAACGACGATGTGAAAAACACGGTGTTGCGATGTATTTCTGAGGTCGCAGTGAAAATGGACGACACTTTCATCACACAAATTACACAAAAGTTGCTTCGAGAATTCAAAGAGAAGAAGAGGATGAACCAAACACTGATTTTGTTAGACTCCTTCTCATACTTTTGTATGTGCGTTCGCGACAAAATCGCGAACTTTGTGAGAGAGATCTTCTGCGTTATCATGACAAAGTTTGCATTCCTTTATAGCGATTTTGGTAAGGAAAAAAAGACTTTAGCCGATGGCGTCTATGTGTTAGAAATTGAAGAAAGCAACGACGAGTCGACGTGTATTTTCAAAGCGACGGTTCTCCGGTTTGTTGCGCAATTAATCAGATGTAGTCCCGAGAAGTTGAATGAAGATGTCGATGAGTTGATTGAACTTGGGAATGACTATTTGCAGTTTGATCCGAACTCCTTTGTAAACGACGAGACTACAAAATCACATCTGAAAGAAGAGAAGAATGAGAGTGATGAGGAATTTGATGATGATCTTGGCGAAGAAGATACCAACACTAAAAATGACACAGGTAGTAGTGATGACATGACGTGGAAAGTACGAATAAGTGCCGTTGGT